TGGACTTCGTCACGAACCCAGGGTCAATGGGAAGCTGGTTCAGACAAGGCTCATATTCATTGAAACAGATGAGTTCGGAATAGAACTCGCGCTCCAGGCTCTGTGACTGGCACTCCGTAAGAGAACAATGGTGACAAAGCGGTGACGATCACGTGGACATTAGGGATTTACCTTAGACTCAAACCTAACTGGCAATCGGACCAGGACAGGAGCTCATGCGTCTTGCTAGGACGAGTGCCTGCTGAACAGCATGACCAGAGACCACTTATAATTGTATCTGCTGTGGCACCGCCCAGGCTGCGTTTTGGCCAACAGCACACCGACGTATTCCATGCTCGAAATGAGTTCTATTGCAAACTCAGACAGGCTATCGACACGCACCTTGAATTTCCCAGCTGGACTGGATGTCATCCAGTACCCTTGAATCGTAGAAAGTGCGTGAGGGCCAAGGACGGGGCCAAGATGGCACGAACAGGAAAACGCTCGACACGCTAGCAGCTGACCAGCGCTTCGCTGAGCTGATGCCCACCATATAAGCCGGGGCGACAGCAGCTGCGGACAGTGCACTCTGAGGCACCGCTTCCACACCATGCACTCGCTGGTGAGGTCGCCACTCGGGGTCCTGAGCATCGAGACGGCCAATTGACCTAGTGTCCAGCTGGGTTGACCCAGGGGTTCAGTCAGGATTTTCTTAGCGGGGAGGGGGCGGAGCTCGGCGTGCACGCGTCACCGTACTTTTCAGCTTTCTGTTGGGGAAGACCTATGGTGAAAAACAACACAATCCGGGCCTGCGGGACCGCCTCTCCCCCCCCCCCCCCCCCCCCCCCCCCTCTCTCCTTTGGTTGCACGTCTGTAGTGACCGATATCTGCACAAAAGAGCCAAGCGTAGACCAAAGGGTCGCGCCGCAGCTTCAACACACCGACCTCTTCTTCAAACTACGCGTTCAGGCCGGCAGTGGTAGGCACGTGACCCACCCGCCCCACCGCATCCCACACTCCGTCAGCAGACACGTGACCCCGCTGACCCCGCTGACCCTGCTGCCGTGTCCCGCAGACCGTCGGAGCCGCCCTGCTGTTCCTCGCCGCCCGAGCGTCGGCCATACCCTGGGACTCGAAGCCCGGCTACCACGCCAGCTCGCACAAGGAGCCGGTCGGCGGTCCGGCGCCGCCCGATGCTGTCGAGAAGGCCAGGCGACGATTCTTCGAGTACGTGCGCTGCGGAGAGCACGGTGTGCGGGTTGGTGGACGCGCGCTTGGGCCAGGAGGATGGGCTCCAGGTCCAGATGCGGATGTCATCCGAGAATTTTGCGATCATGAACGTGCAGCTGTCACGAATTCACGACGATCCTCGTTCCAAATTTATTTTGCTGCATCAGTTTCTCTGAGGTACAGCGTAGATATATGATATACTCTCTCTAGCTTCTCTGGGATACTTCTTCGGGAGACACGTTTTGCCCGGCCAATACACACGTTCTCTGTCGGCAGGCTCTACAACAAGGCGGCGGCACTGGCGGAGGCGGCACCGGACATAGCTGTGCACCACGGCTACTCTCAGTCCCGACACCACAGCGCGCCGCACCACTCGCAGCACCAGTCGCGCCACTCGACCCAGCAGCACCACGGAAGCCTCCGCAGCGGGTCGCGGCCCACCCACCCGCCGGCCGAGACGGATCCGCTGGCGGGCCCGCCGGAGCACGTGACCGACACGCCGGAGGTGAGCGCCGCCCGAGCCGCCTTCTACGAGCAGTACCAGGAGCTGGCCGCCGCGGCCGCCGCCGCGCCCGACCCGCAGGGCCCGCGGCAAGCGCACCGCTCCGGGCCCCGCCACCACTCCTCGCACCACCAGCAGCACTCCTCGCACCACCAGCAGCACCGCAGCGGGCCGAAGCCGACCTACGGACCGGCCGCCACCGACCCGCTATCGGGCCCTGTGACAGACACACCGGAGGTGGCCTCCGCCCGGGCTGCCTTCGAGAAGCAGTTCCAGGAGCTGGCCTCGCTGTCCGCCGCCGCGCCCCACCACGGCTACGCTCACTAGACCAGTGAGCGTACTAGTGACAGTAGCAGCGGCCATCGGAAGCCCAGCCCATTGATGTGTCAGCGCACAGCTCTTTCGTTACATCCTCCGTTCCCCGTTGATTCGTTGTTTAGCTTTCGTACGTTTTCCTCACACACTCACTCTTGCTGTTTATGTCTATGGAAATGGTCCTTTGTATGACGGTATATGTACTATATACCTGCTGATGTTTTTCACAGTGATGTTGTCATGATGCGTCTTTAATCCTTGTTGCCTTGTCCTTGCATGCTATTGTCATCATGATTAGTCTGCTAACGTCGGTTTCGTTGTCCCAGTCGTCCACAACACCGAGAGGTCTCACACACTTCTTCGCATGATTAAAAGTTTGATCATTCATCGAGGGATGCGGGAAGCTTGTTCTGATTGTACGTGCATGGCAACTGTACAGCAATAAAACAAGTGCTTCCAGCATGATCACACAGTCCATGGGCTAAGATGGGCCCGTTTAACTTGGCTGCAGCCGAGTTTAAACTGGTCACTTTTTGACATCGAACACTGGATTGGGGCCATAAAATGAGTCGGTCCTCCATAAAACCGAGTCCTCCCTGGGTTCCCGGATGCGTCGCAATCAGCAGCATGACTCAGGGTTGGCGTGTGAGGTTATGCAAAACCGGCGATGACCTCGGCTGTGGCAGCGGACTGTGCAGGCACGTTCCTTGAACCCCAATGCGTGGAAAGCATTGGAAAGCATGCATGATAGTTGTGGTACAGCGTTGTGGCGACGAACTTTTCTCCTTCTTTTTATTTTCTCCTTTCTATCTATTTTTGCCGGTTCCTATTTCATTAGTCCGGGTTCTGATGCGTTGGTCAACACATTTTCTTTATGGTGATTTGTGTTTAGACCAACATTCCCCCCCCCCCTCATAGCGTGTGGCAGACGTATACGTCCAGTGGGTTCGAAGTTCCAACCTTTGGTTCGAACCGCATCCACGAGATAGTTAAATTTACATGTGAGGGGTTTCATCCCCCGGCGAGGAGAAACGCTGGCCATAGGCGGCCGTATTATGACTTTGCATGATGCCCTGAGTTCACCGAGGACAGCTAATACGCAGGTTTTTATAATCTGTACGTGTCCTTGGGGCACATGCCCTCCCCGCCCCCTTACCAAGTTTATGGCATGTATTTATTTTAATCTAGTGTGCACAGAAATGGTGATTATATCATGTATGAATGGTATAGATGAATTATGTAAGTAACTGCATGTCGGCAATCAAAAATTTCGGGTCGACACGTAAGAATCGGAACACCGAGGATATGCAATACTATGTTATGACACGCAAGAACCGCGCGCGCTTAATGTGACGCTAAACGCGGTCTTGAGCTTCCCCATCTTAAGATTCTGCGTACATCCCGTGTCTGAAGAACAATTTGATTAACAATCTGCTCCAAATGTTTCACACTTAAGACCGCTTGGGTGATGGGCTGGTCATTGCAACCAGCTGTGATTACGGATCGATATTTAATTACGGCACTCGAGTAAATTTTTGGGACTGCCACACAAGATACAAATAGTCACACATTTGGCTACAAACCGTGGCACAACGAGACGCTACTCTCAATGTTCAAAGGCTTGTTCTTGAAGCGTTCCATCATCTTCATGGACGTAACGACGTCTGAAATGTTACTTGGGTTCATTTCCTTGTTGGCTCCCCATTATGTGGTCAGAGTTGTCAAAAGACCAACATGCCAAACGTCGCTGATGTCCGAACCCCTCGTCCCCAGGTGGTTGCGCCCATGATTATATTAGCGTTACAAAGGTTACGCAATTACCCAAAAACAGATGGTGGAACGCGTTTATTTTGCTTTCTACAACATGTGCACCGGACAGTGTATTTCTGAAAACTGAAAAACCTCCTACCTTGAATGCAATTGATGTACGACAGCTGGATTGCGATGACACTTACGCTTTTTAACATGATACGGCGTCTGATGTCGCTGAGCTGGTGCATTTCGTAATTAAGCAATTATGTCATGTTTGTGACGTGATATGCTTTGTGCACAACCTTCAAATTTGTTGTGTTGAAATACAATGCTTTTAAATGGCTTCCATGTCCGTTGGTAATAGCTCTTTTGTCAATGTCAACGGCATTGTTGTCTAGATGTGCATACATAACTGAACTGTGAGGACGAGAAGTCATGCATAGCACTGCGCGTAAAGAACATGATGCCGTACGGTTGTATTATGTGCGTAGACAAAACTACAAGTGTTTTTGATCTTGTCACGATGCATAGCATTATTGCTTGCCACAAAATATGCGTTACGTCAGTTTGATCGACGTCGCATAAGAGGCCGTTCATATATCACGTGACGTATGCAGAAGGAGAGGAGTCTGGTTGAGCGTAACCAGTGTTACAAGGGGAACGGTCGGATAACGCAAAGCCACCCTCAAGTGCAGTCACAAATCATACTGAAGTTTTTAAAGTGTTTTTAGACGGTAAAGACAGAAAGCGCTGGCTTCCTCTTATGACAGGCACCATGCCCGTCTTTATTTCGCAAATCTAACTCAATTAGGAGCCAAACGAACAATACCTTTTTGGCGTTAGAGCGTAACAACGGGAACAGGGGTGTTTCGCCCAGCATAGCCACTGCATGACCAAGGGGAGAAGGGGAGGGGGCCTAAAGAAGACAGAAGTGTGAAACATAATAAGCAGACGGTCTTAAGGTCATCGAAGAGGTGGTGACAACTTTACGGCTACGTGGGCCCATGGGGAAGGCCACCCAACGTTTTCCGAAAAAGTCCCATCCTATCCCGTGCTAACATTATTTTCTACATCCAATCCGTCCTATTTTTCCACTTGGTTTGACGGCTTTAAGTGTTCCACGACATGCGTATATGGAAATCCACCGGAGGGTCTGCAGTCTTCCTGGGTACTCATGAATCCGGGGGGGGGGGGGGGGGGAAGGGGGCGGTATCATCCCGATACGGCTCGTGATCCCAGAGCTACAACCTTTCTCCTCTCAAGCTGTTTGACTTTACCACCAGGACCACGAGCCGCCGCGGTCGCCGCGGCCACCGCGCCACGCTACTTATGCATCAGGTTCTCGGGTAAGTACAGGTCGCCGAACTGGTCGTTGAGCCGCGAACTGCCCGGCCGCTCCTTCAGCTCGCGGAAGATGCGCTCGAACACCTCGTTCTTGTCGTCGGTGACGGGCACCGGACGCACGCCGTCCCCCGTGCCGACGAGCAGGTACGGCCGCCCGTTGACGTACTTGATGCTGTCGCGCATCTCCTGCAACACCTCGCGGTCTGAGCGGGCGCCGGCGACGGGCGCCGACGACGACGACGGCGGCGGCGGCGGCGACGTCGTCACCGTCGACCAGGTGGACACGGCGCCCCGGTCCATCGACATGCCGTAAGTGTAGGTGGTGGTGGGTTTCTGATCTGGGCGCGTGACGGCCCAGGCGGACTTGCCGGCGCCGGCGCCGTCCGGGCGCAGCACCCGCTGCAGCACCGTGTTGGCGTCGTCCTGGCGCGAGAAGGAGCCGCAGCGGCGCGCCAGTCGGCCCCAGCCGATCTCCAGCATCAGCAGCGCCACGCCGCACCCGTAGGAGGTCAGCAGGATGTAGTAGATCATGCGCAGCTCCTCGTTCATCAGTTTGGTGCCCTGGATGCCCTTGGGGATGGCGCAGGGAGCCGCGTCCACCTCCGCGTCCCGTTTCCATTTGTTGGCGATGCCGGACATGACGAGCCAGTGAACGCTGAAGGGCAGAAGGTGAGTCATGAGCTGCATGCGCCGGAATGTCCCCTGATGTGCAGTGCAGGTCATCGGTGTGAAACACAAGCCAGAATATTATGCAAATTAGGCACGATTGCACCGAGACCTGAGTGAGCAACATAGTCATTGTAGATGACAGGAGTGGATGACGAATCCCTTTTGCAAGTCGCTGAGAAACTACGACTATAAGATGTATATTCGGAGCAAAAAATATTCTAACACAGGTTACGCAACAGGCTTCCAAGACTGGACAGGACCCAAACAAGACAAGTAAATAATGGGTCCCTAAGCACGTCCATAACAACCTTTTCCACGTGCATAGATCCACGTCAAATGGCCATCACCTTGTGAACTATCACAAACATTTTTAACCGGAGATGCTGTTTGAACTAAGATTGCAGTTGTAAAAATTATCCTATCCTAATCCTTGTAAAAATAGTATGAGTTCAGAATGCGCGTGTTTAATGAAGTGATACATATATATGCACATGAATATATATATATATATATATATATATACATATGTTGGAATATTTTGGCAAAATCCTTTCTTTTATACATGTTTGACTAAAAATACCTGCCGACTCAGCACTGACGAGCTTTTTGACGCATCGTTCTAGTTTCCGGGCCTTTGGCTTGGCATTATCGCTTAGATTAAAGATGGTTCGCACAAAATTACTCGTATATTAATCGCTCCTTACCTTCTAACGTTTCGAGATTCTATCTCATTGTCGGAGAAGATTGAATGGCACAAGAAATACGTTTTTAGTTTTAAAGGATAAAAAATTGTGCACTACTACTGGAAAGCATCTTTTGGTACCGAGAACACAAATGAAGCATGGCTAATTGAAGAAAGACAGAGTCCCATTTACAAGATACATATACGGAACACTCATAATGGGAACACTACAAAGACACAATAAGAACACTATTGCCATATTCACATCAATAGTGTTCACCGGTCACTACCTAATAGTTCAGGAGTTGTGCAAGAATTTGTTTGTCTGTTTAGGGCCGGAGAGAGTTCGTTAATGCGTCATAATTCATCAAGTCGTTGGCGTCATAAGGTCCTTCATTAGACTTGCATTTAAGCACTGCTCTAATTGTACAGGACTACATTCAGAATTGGTTAGAATCAGACAGATTTTGGTGAACAACAGTTTTTCAAATCCTGACGTTAAAAACGAAATACCACGACCTATGACAAGATACTTTGACAGAAGACCAAGACAACGCATCTAACCAGCCTTCAAACTATTTTATCAAAATCAAATGAAATCTGCCCACAAACAAGACGAAAAACCTTTACGGGAAATTTTATCTCGACGTGGTAGAGACAAAAACGACCACAAAATAGATATCGTCATTTATTATCGTAATAAGACAATATCTAACTTTCTGGTGAGAGACAGCCCAGACAAACCCGACAAACTAAAATGCACCAATGTAGTGCATCAATTCGGATGCAGCATCGAAGGCTGCAAACTTCGTTCCACACACTACATTGGTGTGACCACAACACTCATGACGCCTAACAATGCATTTACGTCACGGGGCACCACTGGACCACACGCGACACTAGCACGGCATGACATTGAAGCAACAACTGACAGACAACACTGACATCTTACGGACGTTTAATGACAGAAGACGCCTTCAAATTTGAGAAGGCATATTCATTAACGAACTCCCTCCTGCGCTAAACAGACAGACAAATTCTTGCACAACTCTTGAACTATTAGTTGGTGGGCGATGAGCACTATTGATGTGATTGTGCCAATAGTGTTCTCATTGTGCTTTTGTAGTGTTCCCTTATGAGTGTTTCTTATATATATATATATATATATATATATATATATATATATATGCATGTATGTATATATGTATGCATGTATGTATCCTGTAAATAGGACTCTGTCTTACTTCAATAAGTCATGTTTCATTTGTGTTCTCCGTACCAAAAGATGATTTCCAATAGCAGTGCACAATTTATATATATATATATATATATATATATATATATATATATATATATATATATATATATATATACATATATATATATATATATGTACACAAAATCCTGGCTTGTACCTAGATAGATTTTTCCGATGTGATCCACCTAAAATGTTTACCGCTCTAAGCGATAATAGCCTAGAGAATGTTGGTGAGGAGGCCGACCTTGCCTGTCGCTGGAAATCGCAGGAAAATGGATGCCGAATATAGAAAGCCGGAAAGAGCCAAACCATGGATTAAACAGATAGCTATCAGTACCATACAGGTGGCTGGAGATTACAATGCATAAGGGTATTTGCAGCCTTATTGCCCGGTGGAGAAAGTACATACATCAAGTATGGAAGGCTCATAAATTATTCATAGGAATGTTCCGTAACTTGTTCAGTGCACTAGCGGGTAACATTATTCACATAAATGAGAAAGTAGTATTAGCGTTATTCCTCAGAGAAAAAACAGGATAATGGAGGTATAGTTGGGTTGATATTGCGGCAACATGCCTTTGTGGACGCATACACATAAATGAAGGCCATGCGATTGTTATTGGCTGGCGAGCGTAAGGTACCGGCGCCATAACGTGAGCTCTCGCCCAAAGAGAAAGTTCAACCTCCACTAAACTGCAGCGTCGCTGGCCGTTCTCCGAACGCGCCCCGCGCTTCTTCGGCGTCAGCTGGTGACAGCCGTGCACCAAGGCTACCGTGGTCTGCTGTGCCGGTCGCTCCATGCCTCAGTGGTGTACCACGCCCGGCTCCGCGACAGGTTCTCTACCCTATATCGGGCGTACGAGACCGGCGGCACGCCAGCCGCCGCCACAGGCACGGCGTGGTCGCGAAAGTCCGCAGCCAAGCTGTGAGGCTCGACGATTCGCACTGATTTGTGGGACAACATTGCGCTTTGCCAGTCGACGCCTGTCAATGCGTGTCGTGCTCTTGCATCGAGCAGCGCTCCAGATGCATAGGTGATGTGGTTCTGAGACGTGGCGCCGATTTTTGTTCTGGTGGGCGTATTGCGTGACGGCAGGAATGGCCAGAACAAAAGGTGGCACTGAAGCAATGCGACTGCTATTGGCTGGCGAGTGTTTATGCTGCATGTGTTCGGCTTGTAGACTTGTCATTGCTCTCACTCACAAAGGGTCGAAGGCTTGGTTGAATGACGAGCCCTTGGGCGCGGCTAGCGAGTACTTGATGTACTCATCCTTGAGGGGCACCACATACACGTGGCAGGTGCGGTTGCTGGAGTAGTAGTCGGCCATCATCATGGCGTTCAGCTTGGACACCTCGTCGATGTAGACGTACGCTGTGATTATAGAAGGCGATGTCTTGCATGTAGGTATACATTGCTCCCAAACGCCATTAGATGACGCATTCGACCTGGACATTTGCCATCGGCAGGCGAGACGTTACTGTTGGCATGAAAATAGAGACGCTTAATTGATAAAAATGTTCTGGCACTTTCTATTGCATTCGTAAATTTGATTCCTTTAAATTTCAATGGGGAGCATGAAGGCAAAATACTTGTATTATGAACGCCAAACGAAAGGTGCAGAATGAAACGTATTTTTCCATTGCAACTAGTGCATCACTATCATCTCATCGTGTCCACAACCTCATGCTAACACCCACCTGAACTGCGGACTTTGTCAATAGTCTTGGACGCCGGTTCGTCGGGACTGATGAAGGAGCCCTTCCCGGCCCTTCTCATCCCCATGAGGACGTCGGAGCTGTTGACGTACATCTGGATGCTGTCCCCTGTAATGTATAACACAAACAAGCGCGTCAGAATTAATGACTATCCTAGTGCAGCTGGATGCTGCTGTTACATATACGCAGACAGAAGTAGACATCAGATGGCGGGCTGTCGCGTCAGAGTGGGCATTCCAGACCGCCAGGTGGCGTCTTGTCTCCGTATTTCGAATATGCTTGCCCGTTGGACGTTAGATCATCCGCAGCCCGCAGGTAATGCGAGATATTGCCCAGTTTAGTCAGGGCTACTAAGATCAAATGAACGATTCAATCCGCATCCAAATAATATTTGCAGTCATAAGCACCCGCAAGTAAGGATTCCCTCCGCAGCTACGGCAAGGTAAAGGTCTTACATCAATACATCATCACGTCATATCGACAGCCCATATGCTCCAAAGATTTGTTTCGAAGAAACGCTCTGCTGCCAAACGATGAATCGCCTTGGCCGGCA